TGTGAACATACGTATATAAGATAAGCCATGTGGATATGATTTATGAGAGTATAAGTGATATGATTGCAAGATTTCAAGAGATAAACCATATGATATGAGTGTTATGATAAGAACATATGTTTATGTGATATGGGTATGTGAATATATGGTAAACATAATAATGATGCCCATGTTACGTGTCATGAGAGCTAGAGGTATAGTTGGCATGCCAAGAGTCGAGGGTTCTACGTGGTCCTTCGGGACATATATGTAATTCCGTGGAACATATATGTGGTATTTCGGTACACTTATTTGGTCCATTATATTATGTATATGGTTCTTAAGGAGTGGTTCTTTAGGACATAGTGGTCATTCGGGACAAATATACAGTGCCCCTAGTGGGAATTTATGGGCCAATAAAGAAATAATATACATAAACTTAATATGATTGTTATATGTGATTTAACATTTGGATGTGAATGTATGAGTTTCATTTATTGCATATATGATAAGTTCTATGTGAAATATGTTGATATGATATATGGGAATGTAAGTGAATATAATATAATTATATTATATGTTAGAAGTAATTTAATGAGAAATATAGTGAATGATATATATATATATATATATATATATATATATATATATATACATAGATAATGAAGTGGTGAACTATATGATTAATGAGAATTGAGACAAAACAAATAGTATATTAACTATGGAAAATGTATATAAATAAGTATAAAAGGATATTAGATAAGTTGTGTAGGAAGGTATATACGTTTAAAATAGAACTGTGAACTAACCTTGCTAAATTAGTAAGGGATATAAAATTTAGTATAAGAATCTTAGAAATCATATGAGAATATCAAGTGAATCAAATGACAATAAGTTATGCAAATGTATGTTTATTAAATGAAGATTAGGTGAGGAATGAATTAAGAGAATATAAGAAATTAGGATACTAGAATATGTAACGAGAATTTATGGGTGAAATATTAAATAGAAACATATAGAAATAAGAGATCAATATGTAGGATGGTGATCAAAGTTTTAGGATTTAGAATAGGGTAAGTAAACGACTTAAATGAAGATAGTAGAATGTGATATAAGCTAAGTAGTGTAAATTAAATGATTATAAGAATATGAAATAGTAAAACTCATATGTGATATTATAAGGTTTGTGTATGTATGTATTCATTTTATAAAGTGTACATGAAGATGTATATTATAATAATATTAATTATTTATATGCATTGTTAGAAGTTTTAGTTTATATTATTTGTTTTATAAGCCTCACTAAGTTATACACTTAGCGTGTGATTGTTTCACACGTAGGTTGCAGAAGCGAGAAGAAAAGCTAAGAGGAGTAAGACAGGTCAGCATCTTCCTTACAAATATCGGATCAGGAATATATTAAATATATGTATTTTGTTTTATAGAATGTAGTTGGCATGTAGTCTAAAGATTTGAATAGTATAAGCTCTAATATGTTTTGTAAAACCCGTTTATGTCAATTAATGTAAAATATTCATTTTATCGAATAGCGAGTTGGATTTTTATCCACATGTAAAAGAAAATGTTTTGAAAAGTCAATGTGACACCTAGGACTCGGATCCAAGTCGGATAAGGGTTGACGGTGTTACAGTTTCAATTTATTTCAATTTGGTCTTTTAAATTTTTAGTTATTCATTTTTTTCTTTTTTAATTTTAACATTTTTTATTTTTAGTTTTAGTTTTAGTGTTTTTATTATTTTATTATTTATTTATTTTTATTTTTTTACTTCTTATTATTTTTATTATTTTACTTTATTTAACATTTCCCCTTTGATTTATTTAATCTTTTTTTATCTTTTATTTCCTTTGATTTTTTATTTTTTATTATAATTATAATTTTTTATTTTTTATTTTATTTATTTAATATTTAATATTTTCCCTTTTCTTTTTTATTTTTTTCCTTTGATTTATATAATATCTATTTATTATTTTTCGATTGTTAGGGATACTTTTCAACCAATCAAATGTAAGAAATTTGAATCGAATGTTTTAAATTTCAATTTAAATTTGGATTTTTACAATTAAGACAACCAACAAATCAATTGGTACCGAAAGGGCAGTACAAGGGTGCTAATCATTACTTGACTGTAACCGACTCCTGAACCCGACACATTTCTGGTAAAATGCATATCAGGTGAGATGGTGTCCGATCAACCTAATGTTTGTTTTTTAAAATGATCGGTGGCGACTCTAACGTTTTTACTCAAGTCGAAGCCCAATTCCGAGCCCACCCGAAAGACAGTCGCGACACTCCCTAAACACAAAAAACTATTAGATAGATTCGGTTCACCATGTTATTAGTGATTTCAATCAATAAAATCTATTAATTTTAACTTTTTTTAAGTAAATCTTCATCTCTTTCCTAGATGTAAATAAAAAGTGACTAATTATTTAAAAAATATTTTAAAACAAATAAATCTTATTAACTTAGATCATAATAACGTAGTGAGTCAAGTCCATATAGTAATTTTTCCCGAATAAAATAAAAAAGCTATAAGAAACTTCTAAATTACCTAAGCTAGAGATCGGGTATAGGTGTTAACAATTAAATGTTTTTGACATTTAAATAGCAACTAATCTACTTTAATAATTGAAAGAATGATTTTATCTTTAAAATTTTGAATTTAAATATGATATTCATAAATATATTTAGATATTTATTATTAAATTGTTAAATTTGTTTAATATATATAATCACTTAAACTAATAAAAAATGGGTTAAAACCGTTGTTGACTCTTTGATAAAAAAAAGAGAAAATAACCTCAGTGACCGAAAATGCCTTATAATATACGATTTTAACCAACTTTTTTTGGATTTGCCAAAATGACCAACAAAATCGCAATGCGATCTTAAATTCGTAACACGAACTCTAATTTTTCAACTCAGTTTTCAAATTCGCAACGCGAATATCCAGATTCACAACGCGATTGTAAGATTCGCAATGCGATTTTGAAAAATGTGTTGCGATAGTTAAAATGTGTTGCGAGAGTTTGAAAAACGTGTTGTTGCGATAGTGAAAAAGTGTTGCGATAGTGAAAAATCCAAAATAAGTTTACATTTTAACTATTCCAAATTCACGTGGAGTTTGAAACAATAAAGAATGTGTTACGATAGTGTATAAGATTCCCAAGCCATTTGTAAGATCTTAGTTTGAAACAATAAAGAATGTGTTGCGATAGTGTAAAAGATTCCCAAGTGTTGGCAATGCTCAATCCCACATAGTATTGGAAATACTATTGGGAATGAGTATTTAAGGCTTGGATTTCCCACTTCCTTGTTGAGTGGAAGAGAACAAGGGGGCTCTCGCGCACCGTCATCGTCGTCGTCGCCGTCCCGTCTCGTCGTGGTCGTGGTCGTGGTCGTGGTAATACGTGTCTTCGACACGTCCGCGCGGATACTATCTCTTTAGAGAAAATTCTTAAGAAACAAATGCAATACCACCAGTCGTTGCGATTTTGGAAAATCGCAACGCGAACTTAGACTATCGCAACGAATTTGGAAAATCGCAACGCGAACTTCGACTATCGCAACGTGAACTTCGACTATCGCAACGTGAACTTGGACTATCGCAACGAATTTGGAAAATCGCAATGCGAACTTCGACTATCGCAACACGAACTTCGATTATCGTAACGAATTTGAAAAATCGTAACATGAACTTGGACTATCGCAACGAATTTGGAAAATCGCAACGCGAACTTCGACTATCGCAACGTGAACTTGGACTATCGCAACGAATTTAGACTAACGTAAATTTGGAAAATCGCAACGAATTTGGAAAATCGCAACGCGAACTTGGACTATCGCAAAATCGCGTTGCGAATTTGGAAACTGAGTTGAAAAATTAGAGTTTGCATTGCGAATTTAAGATCGCATTGCGATTTTGTTGGTCATTTTGGCAAATCCAAAAAAAGTTGGTTAAAATCGTATATTATAAGGCATTTTCGGTCACTGAGGTTATTTTCTCTAAAAAAAATTTGCTCTCCCATGTCAGCTATTCGACTATATATTTTATGTATAATTAATTTCATTTTGGCATCGTTTTTTTTTTCTTATTAAATATTATATTATATTTTAATTTAATTAATTTTTATTTTTATTTTCTTAAAGTTTTAATTATAATATAAACAATACAAGAATAATTTAATCGAATAATAAAAATTTAAAATAATTAAAGTATAACTTATAAATTAGCATTTAGACTTAAGTGTAACGGAAAAATGTTTAATAAAAAATTCTTTAAACACTTAAAGTTAATTTCATGTATAATTTAGACACTTATTTTTATATTAAACCTTATATTGTTCTATAGAAATAAAATAATTTGTCTATATAACTATAGTATTTCCCCAATAAGTTTGATTTTAATTATCAGTAAAATACTTTGAAATTATATCATATGTCATGATTTCATAGTAGTATACTATTAAATAAATTTTAAAGTTTATCAAATTTTAAAAAGTATAAAATTAAAGATTAAAAATTATTTTTATACATCGAAAAACTCATGATTCTAGAAACTTTATGGTGTATGGTACAGAGAAATTTTGGTAGAGCATAATATTTTGAGAATCTTATCAAGCAAATTCTCACAAAATAATTAGCAAGATGTTGATTCAGTTATTTACTTCCTCTTAAAAATCATGAACAAAACATCAAAATCCAAAAAAAATCCTTCAATTTCCCCCCAAAATTATCCAATAATTGGTTCTTCTTTAGCCACCAAATCTCATGAAGAAGATCTTGTGCAATGGACTACACAAATCCTCCAGAGCTCTCCTTCTGCAACTTTCACCTTCCATCTGTTATTCGGTCCCACCACATCTGCACCGCGAACCCCTCTGTTAAACTTGTAATATGAGTGAAATGAAAAATTATTTTTATTTTCATACGTATAAGTTTACAACCAGTACATATATATACACAACTATTCAATCTAACCACCTAACTAACTCATAACCGTTTCTAACTAATTAATAACTGAACAAAACTAATTACAAACTCAACACTCCCCCTCAAGTTGGATGTTGAAAAACATTTTCAACTCCTAACTTGGATAGCAAATAACTATGCTGTTGATTTATCAAAGCCTTTGTCATGATGTCTGCAAGCTGTTCATGCGTGGAAACATGTTCTGTCTGAATTAAACCTTCTTGTATTTTTTCTCTCACGAAATGACAATCGATTTCAATATGCTTTGTCCTTTCATGAAACACAGGGTTAACAGCTATCTGAATTATAACTTTGTTATCACAGTAAAGTTTCATAGGTTTCAGGCCTTTTATACTAAACTCTGTAAGTAAACCTTGCAGCCATAGTAACTCAGAAGTAACCACTGCCATAGCTCTATATTCTGCTTCTACTGAAGATATTGCCCCAACATTTTGCTTCTTTGATTTCCATGAAACCAGTGAGTCACCAATCTTGATACAGAAACCTGTCACAGGCTTTCTTGACATTGGGCATGATCCCCAATCTGAATCATAGTAGGCTGAAATTTGATGACCTGAAGAAGATTTTAACAAAACTCCATATCCTGGTTTTTCCTTAACATACCTTACTACTCTTAAGGCTGCTTCCATGTGTGATTTCTTAGGTTGCTGCATAAATTGACTAAGAAGGTTTACTGCATATGTAATGTCAGGTCTAGTATATGTCAAGTAAATCAGCTTTCCAATAAGTCTTTGGTAAACTGATTTTTCAACCTGATTATGTTCATCTTCATTATTTTGCTGCACAACTCTATCATAATCCATAGTAGTCAACTTCAGATTCTACTCTAGAGGAGTAGCAGCAGACTTTGCTTTCTCCAAACCAGTATCCTTGATTAATTGGAGTGCATACTTCCTTTGATTCAAAAGTATACCTTCCTTTGACCTCAATACCTCGATTCCCAAAAAATATTTTAGCTCCCCCAAATCTTTCATCTTAAAATGACTATTCAACATTTGTTTTAACTCAACAATCAACTCATCATTATCACCTGTAATTACCAAATCATCAACATAGACCAACAACAAAGCCATTTTACCCTGTTGCTTCTTGATGAACAATGAATAGTCATATTTACTTTGAACATAGCTAGCCGAAACCAATTCTTCTGTTAATTTCAGATTCCACTGCCTGGAGGCTTGCTTAAGACCATATAATGATTTTTGCAGTCTACATACAACATTCTCCCTTTGACTGCAAAAACCTTCTGGAAGCTGCATATAAACTTCCTCAGAGAGATCCCCTTGCAAAAAGGCATTGAATACATCCATTTGCAATAATGGCTATTGGAATATAGAAGCAAGAGCTAAAATGGTTCGAATGGTAACCATTTTGACCACAGGAGAAAAAGTATCAACAAAATCAATTCCCTCCTATTGATTATATCCTTTAGCAACCAAGCGAGCTTTATATCTCTAAACCTCACCTGATGCTTTGTACTTAACTCTATAAACCCACTTACATCCAATAGGAACTTTTCCTGGTGGTAATGGAACAAGGGACCAAGTTCTATTAGACTGTAATGCATGGATTTCCTCTTTCATTGCTTGAACCCAAAGTGGATTTTGAACATCCTCAGAATAAGATTGAGGCTCAGAAATTTGAAAGATGGAAGACAAGAATACTTGAGTATGAATTGGTAAGTGAGAATAAGAAAGTTCACTGAAATTTGAGGAAGAAGACTGACAAGTGCAAACAAAATTGTTTAACCAAGTAGGAGGTTTAGAAATTCTAGAGGATTTTCTAGAATGGACAGGTGCACTTATTGAAGCAGAAGACTGATCTGGAATTTGATAAGTGTGTTCACCATCAACAATACCCAACTCAGTAGGATTACTATGATGGGAGCCAGAAGGAGGAGAACTTGGAGTATTTAGAATCAAGAAATCATCATCAGAAACAAAGGTATTAGTTGGGAACAAAACAGTATCAGGACTATAAAAGGAAGATGATTGATGAAAATGAAAGTGATTTTCATTAAACTTAACGTCCCTACTAATGAATAATTTCTTAGAATGAAGATTAAACAGCAAGTAACCCTTTTGGGTTGGAGAGTATCCCAAAAAAACAGAAGCAAAAGCTCGAGCATCAAACTTATCATGAGGGTAAGATTTGTGGCAAAACAGAGATACCCAAATACCCTAAAATGGTCATAAGAATGAGGTTTATTGTATAGTAGTTCAAAAGGAGTTTTCCAAGATAAGACTGAAGAAGGCAACCTATTGATAATATAACAGGCAGCCAACACACACTCTCCCCAAAACTGAAAAGGAACTCGAGACTGAAAACGAAGAGCCCAAGCAACTTCTAAAAGATGCCTATGTTTACGTTCTGCAACACCATTCTGTTGAGAAGTACATACACAATAACTCTGATGAATAATCCCCAAGGATTCAAACAAGGGAGTACATTCAAAATTAAAGAATTCACGTCCGTTATCACTACGAACAATTTTAACCGAAACAGAGAAATGGTTCTGAATCATTAAGATAAAGGTTCGAAGACAAGGAATAGAATCATTATTAAGCTTCAATAAGTACACCCAAGACATGCTAGTGTAATCATCTATAATAGTCAAGAAAAAACGTTGACCAGCATGAGTAGAAATTCGATAAGGCCCCCCAAAACAATATGAATTAATGTGAAGGGAGTAGTGGTCCTAGAATTGCTAATTGGAAATAGAAGCCTAGACTGTCGAGCTAAAGGACATATAGAATAGTTTTGAACAGATTCCTGATGCAAATTTGCATTATGAAACATATGTAATTTTTTTAATTAAGAAGTTAGAACATGTCCTAAACGAGCATGCCAAAGGTTTGTTTTATTTGCATCAATAGATTTACACGTGTTTAGAAAAATTTCAGAACTGACTAAAGGTTTACATGCATCAGCAGAAACAGAAAAAACAGAATTGGGAGGGAACCTGAGCATGTAAAGACCTTTAAATTCTCTACCAATCACTCTCATCATGCCACTGTAAAGATCCTGCAATATGCAAAGATCAGGATATAAAAAATAGCACATTTCAATTCATAAGCCAATTTTGAAACAGAAATGAGATTGTGAGTGAAGTGAGGCACATGAAGAACATTAGACAATTGAAGACCATTAGGAAATCTAACATAACCTATATCAGTGACAACAAGGGATTTTCCATTAGGCAATTGAACATATTTAACTGTGGATGTACAGGGCACATGGTCAATCATGCAGTTAAAGTCTGATAAAATATGGTCAGTTGCACCAAAATCCACTCAATTGAATCATAAGCAAGAGAACATAAAGTACCTGCCAAATTCACAGAGAAATTTGGACTAGAACTCGGAGCTGACGCCTGATTCAAAAGCCCCAAGAGCTGCTGATACTATTTAGTAGTGAAGACTGGTGGTACTGAATTAATCACCTCACGATCAGAGTGAGCCATCATGGCAGCTTGGGAACCCTTCTTCTTGTTGAACTTGAAGTCAGACGAAAAGCCAATAAGGCGATAACAATTCTCCTTTTTATGGCCTTTCACCTTGCAATGATCACAAGTTCCATTGAACCTTCGACGGTTGCCAGGAGCACTGGAGTTGCCAGAAGCATTGGAATACAATGTTGTAGTTTCCAAAAGAGGAACGATGCTAGATAGCTGAAGGCGATGAGCTTCTTCTTGACTTATCATCGAGTAGGCACTGTTGACCGAAGTTAAGGGCTGCATCAACAATAATTGGCTTTGAATAGCAGTATATGAATCGTTCAGTCCCATCAAGAATTGGAATAACTTCTGTTGAGCAACATGCCTTAAATTTGACTGAGCACTTGCACAGGTACAGCTCGACGACGGTACGAGTGCATCATACTCGTCCCACAGGAGCTTCAATCGCGAGAAATACGCAGAAATTGACGTCTCACCTTGGACCATCGTTGCAATCTCATGATGAAGAAAAAAGATTCGAGAACCGTCGACTTTGTCGAAACGTTCCTTGAGATATGCCCAAACGAACGCAGTGCTTGAAGCGAAAACGATTCCAACATACAACTCCTTGCTCACAGAGTTGAGGATTCATGAAAGCACAAGAGCGTTCCATCTATCCCATTGTGCTTGTAAAGGGGGCTGAAAATCGTCGCGGCAACAGAGTCCATCAAAGAACCCTAATTTGTTTTTGGCGAGGAGCACGATTCGCATTGATCGACTCCAGATGGTGTAGTTGTCTGGCCCAGAAAGTTGATGTGAGATCAAGACTGTGCCCGTAGTATCTGAAGGGTGGAGATATAATGGATGGTTGAAATCAACAAGCGTTGATTCTGCCGTTGGAACCGTCGTTGAAGGCATTTTGAAAATGGCGAAGCTATGGAAATGTGAAAACGGCGATGCTTTAGAGAAGATGAATGAAATGGAAAGGGGAAAAACAAGCCCAAGTAGGAAACAGGCCCAGCAGAAATGGACTAGCCTGATACCATGTTAAACTTGTAATATGAGTGAAATGAAAAATTATTTTTATTTTCTTACGTATAAGTTTACAACCAATACATATATATACACAACTATTCAATCTAACCACCTAACTAACTCATAATCGTTTCTAACTAATTAATAACTGAACAAAACTAATTACAAACTCAACACCCTCCAATGTCCAGCACATGCTCAAGATCAACTTCTCCAACTACCAAAAAGGTCCTTCCTCTTATAGCACACTCTTCGATTTTCTAGGCAACGGAATCTTCAATATCGACGGCGAGTCCTAGAAGTTCCAGAGACAAGTTTCCAGCCACGAGTTCAACACCAAATCTCTTCGTAAATTTATTCAAAACGTTGTTGATACGGAGCTTAATGATCGTTTGATCCCGATGTTTTCTGATGCTGCTGTTGAGAAGACGGTGCTTGACTTGCAAGAGATTCTTTAGAGATTCGCTTTTGACAATGTTTGTAAGATTGCTTTTGGGTTTGATTCAGCATGTCTTTCGCCATCGTTACTGTCGACAGAGTTCGCTGAAGCGTTTGAAAAAAAAATTAGCTGACCATATTCCCATATGTAATGGGATAAGGGGAGATAGGATAGTAGGCGGCCCCTAATGCTAGGTTGAGAATAGCTTGAGACTCGATCCCACGACCACAAAGTTATTAAGCGTTTGAAGATGCTACTAAAATAAGTAGCAGAAGGTTCCGTGCTTTCTTTAGTATGTCCTGGAAAGTCATGCGATTCTCGAGTTCGTGACTTTGCGATGAAGTTCGTAAGGGAAAAGAAACAGGAACTAGCTGATAAATCGTCTTTGGAATCTGTTGATCTTTTATCCAGGTTTTTGAGCTCGGGCCTCACGGACGAGAATTTCGCTACGGATATTGTCATCAGCTTTATACTCGCCGGCCGCGACACGACATCGGCAGCTTTAACGTGGTTTTTCTGGTTGTTATCAAAGAACCCTGGAGTTGAAGAAAAGATTCTCAAAGAAATCAAAGTGAAATCCGGTTTGCCGGTGCTCGAGGAAGTTAAAGACATGGTTGATACGCATGCTTGTCTCTGCGATACAATGAGACTGTACCCTCCGGTTCCGGTGGACGGCAAGACAGAGGAGGACAACGATGTTTTGCCAGACGGGACGGTGGTGAAGAAAGGAACGATAGTGGCGTATCATCCTTACGCGATAGGCAGGATGGTGATGATATGGGGGTCGGATTGGGCAGAGTTCAAGCCAGAGCGATGGTTGCAGAGAGATGAGGGAGGGAAATGGAGCTTTGTGGGGAGAGATCCTTATACTTATCCATATCCAGTGTTCCAGGCGGGACCCAGAGTTTGTTTGGGAAATGTGATGGCGTTTCTGCAGATGAAAAGGGTGGTGTCTGGCGTTCTACGACGGTTCAAGGTTGTGCCGGCGGTGGAGGATGGGTTTGAACCATCGTTTATTGTTTCTCTGACGTCGAAGATGAAAGGTGGCTTCCCTGCGAGGATTGAGGAAAGGAGAGATCTCAAGCAGCTAATAATGCGTCGTGATTAACGTGCCAGTGAATTTGGTTTTTCAGTATTTTGTCTTTACGTACTTTTTGTTCCACTGCCATTTATAAATTAAAAACATAGGTACGGATGCAATAAGCAGAACAACTATTTTGAATTAAACAATTGAATTTATAAATCATAATCATATAGTGTAATCGTGTATTGTGCTGATCTCCACCTTCCTTTGTTAAAACAAGGTTTCTTTGTTAAATTTTGATGAGGTTGAAGCATCACAATATATATAGTATCTAAACTTTTAGGATATTTACATTTTGGTCATCTAACTTTTAAAATTTACAATACAATCACTAAACTTTTAATTCGCTTTCAATAAGGTCACTGACATTACCACCGTTAAATTTATCTGACGTGACATGTTAACCTCGTTAGAACTCCCCCTCGTCTTCTTCTTCTTCTTTCTTCTCCTTCCTTCCTCCTCCTCCTCCTCCTCCTCCTCCTCCTCCTCCTCCTCCTCCTCCTCCTCCTCCTCCTCCTTCACAGATGAAACATATCTCTTAAAACTTAAAACCCAAGAAAACAAACTAAAGGCCTTTTGAAAACATTTTGCTCTTTCTCTCTATTCATATTCTTCAACAGCTACTGCTATAGTATACTATACTTGGAGAAGAGATCAAGAGCCTCTTCTATCAACCCGTTCTTGCAAAGACAGTCAATGACACTGTTATATGCTACAATATCGGGTTCGAAACCTCTTCCTTCCATTGAGCCATCACATGAGCTGCGTGATTCGTCGTTTTAAAATTCATTGAGCCATCACATGCATGTTACTATAAAGCAATTAATAGCAAGTACCTTAAGGACACTACTGATGTTTTAGAATTTTAAATTTTACACGCTATTAGTCCTGAATTTTATTTTAGAGTCCAAGTCATAAGTAAAAAAGTGTCAAACCCATATTCCCATATGTAATGGGGTAAGGGGGAGGTAGGTAGTAGGTTGCCCCCAACGTCAGGTTGAGAGCAACTTCCGTGAAAGACCTCCCGGCAGTTAGAATTATGAATTGCCCACGGTGGGGCTCGATCTCACGACCACAAGGTTAAGAGCCTTGCACACTACCAATTGAATGAAGTTGGAATTCTTTTGAGTTTATTGAGTTAATAAGTTTTATTTTATAAATCAAATTTTATTTGAAATTTTTTTATACTAAATTTATAAAATTACGAGTTGAGGCAAATATTTTTTTAACATCAAATAAAATCAAATTTGATTTTGTAGAGTAGAGTTTTCTTCACCCCTACTCATATGTAGGGGTATGTAAAAAATCTGATCCAATCATTGATCCGTTGACCTGATTTGAAATTTTGGATATATGATATGCTTTTACTTTTCTGATATAAAATAATAATCGGATGAGAAACAAATCGGTAAAATTTTATTTTTTATATTATCTGAAAATTTTTAAAAAAATAACTAAACCTTTAAAAAGTTTTACACAAGCCCAATAATCGCAACCCCCAGCCCTAACGCTCCAGTCCCAGTGCCACCCCTACTCATATCGAATTTGAATTTTAATAATTTTAATTTTTAGATATCTAAATTTAATTTCCGGATATCCAAGTTTTCGGATTATATGATATTATATATCGAAAAATGCACACCCCTGTTCATATGTTCATCTCATAAGTTTGTTTTGTGGACCCAATTAATGGGATCTGGTTCATGGTCTAATTGATTGGGCTAGGGTCTTTTACATTCCTGCACAGTTACCAATCGGCGAAGGCTTCACTTAAGGAAGCACATGCTTGTTTGCTGGTGAGAAATCAAAGCTCCCATACCTCAAAAGTTAACCTAGGAGAAATGTAACATAAAGTATGCTAATTTATTTAATATCGATGTTAAAAAGGAGAAACAAAGAGTTATCATAAGAAAGAGAGAACACAAATCGGCATTTGTGGGGCTTATTTCATGTTCATGATCTTATTATCACCAGCTAAATCATTAAAGTACTAATCAGTTGCTATCTGCAACAAAAGGAGAGACTGATTTGAGACTAGGCTGCATCATGAAATGGAACCACTGCCATTGGTTGCAGCCCTGAAGGAGCCGTAACATGACCTGCGAAGGCCCTCTGGCCGATGCAAGGCGGGCCTCCGCGGCCGGGAATGTGGGTGCAGCCATTGTGTCCAGAAGGAGGGATTGGTACTCCCTTGGCCTTTTGGACAGATTGTAGCATAAGATCGTCTTTGTTCAGAATCCGGCCGGAAGCCTCGTACAAATGGTTGCTGACAAGAAAAATCACAGCCGCAACGACAAGGAAATGATGTAGGTTCCTCATTGTAATGTATATGAAACAAAGCTAGCTAGCAAGTATACTATCGATCTAGCCCTGGAATTGAAGATAATTAGGCTGCAAGCTAGGCGTATTTATATGTGATGTAGCCCTGGCAACTTGAATGACTTTAACAAGTGGCCCTTGACTGACCTGCGATTTAATTTAGAAGAGAAGAAATAACCATGAATCGAATCATGGGATTAGAAGTAAAAAATGGGATGAAGGTGGCCTCGTGATGTGACTATAAAATGAGAAAAATCTTGTTTTCTGAATCAGGCACTAGTGTCAATTTGGCATGTGGATTGGACTATAAAACGTTGGTGGAGACACGGTTACTCTGGTCTTTAGATCAATATATCCGTGAATCCTTTCGCCACAAGGTGTGCCTAATGTGCCAAGCATTAGAAGAAAAAAAATGGGAATTCAACGATAAGGAACACGAGGTGTATAAATGTATAAGTCGGCCTTGTTTCTGGCTTTCCAAGAAGCAGCAATATTGATCTAAAGAAACAAAGACTTAAAACTGGGTTTGGATGAAGATTTTGTTTGAATGATATCTGTTCCATTAATGATTACAGGCTTCATTCTTTGAACATGTCTGCATTTTGTGTCACATGTTTCCTATGGTAAGCTTTCAGGTTAAGTTAGATTTGCTGGGGAAAATGAAAATTCGGTCGGACACCATGAGGAAAGAGTCACTAGGGCTTGAAGCTTTCAACAATGGGAATAGAAGACGAGACCCGTTCCAAATGACTCAAGTCTTCAACATGGGGTTTATCGTCTTTAGACTGAATGAATATCCTTGGTTTAATCATAATTTCTCTAATAAAAAGGGGTGTATCTGTTAATCCTTCGTGTTTAATTTTCTAAACATTAGAAAAATGGGATTTAAACTATAAGGAATAAGGTGTAAACATGGGAAAGTATGCCTTTTTACTGGATTTCCAAGAAGCAGCATCGGTATAAAAAAAGAAAGATAGACCCAAACTTGGTTTTTGGATGAAGATTTTGTTTGCATGGCCCATGAAATCTGTTAGATTGCTTCTTTAGCGTGTAAGGAATCTTGGAGGGAACATGTTTTGTGTGTTAACCTTTCAGATTAAACGAAAATTTTGAATCGCTGGGGAAAATGAGGAAGGAGACACTGAAGCTTCAACAATGGAGAGTGGAAGACGAGACCTCGTCCAAATCACTGACTTGTTCAAAGTAGGGCTATTGATCATTTAGCGTTATATTGGTTTGAAGGTAGAAATCAAATAGAAAAGATTGAAATTATGCCACTATGTCATACTCAGGTTTTGTGGTTTGAACTCCAAAGTTCACTTAATGTTCAATTTAATCTCTATATTCACCAATATTTAAAATGTTAAAAAAAAAAAGAAGCGAACAAACGATCTTATAAATGAGTCAATAAACATGTTTTCAAATGAGTTTGTTCATCCAAACGAGGCTCTCGGTTGGGTGATTTTAAAACTTAGTAATAAAATTACATGTAAAAAAAAAAGAGTTTATTCATGAACATAAGCAAACCTCTATCTATGGTCGTTAATTTATTAGGTGATAATAAAATTTTAGTCATATTTGTTTATTTAAATTAATAAATAAATATCATATGAATAGTAGACAAATAGTTTATCGAACGATGAGTTCATTTTCACCCCTACAAGGAAACCATGTTTACAATATCTCCAACTTAAGGAAAATTTTGGATTGCTGGGGAAAATTGAGGAAAGACGCAGTGAAGCTTCGACAATGGAAAGACAGAAGACGAGACCTCGTCCAAATGACTGACTTGTTCAACATGGCTTTTGTCTTACTGTCTTTAGACCTAATACCTTCCAATCCTTTTATAAGCCACTTGACCTCAGAGAAATATGTATAGAAGTTGGGGTATCTTTAATTTTTTTTTTTCTGAATTATCTTGATTTGAATTCCTAAAATTATTTAAAAATTTAAATTTATTTTTTTTTATCTCAAATTGTTCTAATATTATTATTTAACTTCAAATTAAATATTATAATCTATAAGATATACGAATCCGTACAAAATTAAATTCTAAAATTTTAAATAATATATCGGATGTCTGAATTAGTTAGAGATTTGATGACCAAGATTTAAATCCATTATAAGCGAATATATTCTTAATTTTGTAATTTAGAGTAGGATATCTAAATTCACATATGTATATTTGATACAGATTTAGATAACAGATATACAATTATATTTATCTATATACGTTCCAAAGTCACATTAGATAATGATTTTAACATTTAAATATGCAAAAATCGAAACAATATTCATAAATATCTAAGTATGAAAAGGATTCGATAAAAGAAACGACTCATTACAACTATTTATATCTATCAAAGTACGATCGATTAGAACCTAATGATCGAGTATTGTATTCTCAAGTCAGCATTAGCGTTGAATGCTTGATATTTTGTCTCCCAGTCCTAATACGTATGATTGTCCCTTTTATTTTCTGCTAATTGTTCTACTCACCCACAACACCAAATCCGGAAAAAGAGAATAAAAAGATTGCAAATACTTTCAAATGAAGTATATAAACTTTGATTTCTTATTAACAATCCATCTTGTGTTTAGCAAATACTTGATACATCTAAACGAAACAAAGAAGTACAATAGCAGACAAGAAGATACAACATTAACCGGGATTCGGAAATGTTTCCATTATTTAGTTTCATCACCAAATCATAGCATGTAAATCAATCGAGTAGTAGTCGGTTGCTAACTGAAACATGTACGCATCCATCACAGATTATGCAGCCGCATTAGATGTAGATGAAACATGGCCGGCAAAGGCCCGTCCGCCGATGCAAGGCGG